GATTCTGGGCTGTTTGTAGGGCTGAAGATGGTTCTGCTGGGAATTTCCTCCTAGCCTTCCCTTTTATGAAGGGAAGAGAAGACTGCTAACAGCTCTCCCGGTGTCAAAGGAGCTCTCTGAAATCATTGTGAATGCGGCGCTTGTCTCCTTTCCAAAGGCTTTCAGTGACTTTTCTGAGTGGAAGTGTAAGCTGGTCAGAAATGCAATAAAGATGAGCTTGTCCAAATAGTTGTTGAGAATATCTAACAACCTAGCCTTCCCTTTTATGAAGGGAAGAGAAGACTGCTAACAGCTCTCCCGGTGTCAAAGGAGCTCTCTGAAATCATTGTGAATGCGGCGCTTGTCTCCTTTCCAAAGGCTTTCAGTGACTTTTCTGAGTGGAAGTGTAAGCTGGTCAGAAATGCAATAAAGATGAGCTTGTCCAAATAGTTGTTGAGAATATCTAACAAGGCAGCCCTTAACAAAAAAAAAAAGGGGGGGGGATGTCAGGCTGGCAGCTCAGCTAATGGTGAAGAGCTGTTGCCACTAACGCTGTAGATGTCCTGCTAGCGTGCCTCATAACAGAATATGTGTTATACATAGGAGACAGCTTCAGGGCTTCGGTTTGCTCTGTGACATGAGGATTTTTGTTTCTTCCCCCAAATTCTAGGATTATGTCTTTCTTCCCCTTCTGACACCTCATTAAAAAGACTTGATAACTGGAATAAAATATCAGATCTTTGTGAATCTAGTTGGATAAACTGCTGCACAGAGGTTGTGTTTTCCCTACTTTTTCTTCCAAAGTGCCTTTGGAGTAAGAAGGTCTTGGTTATTGCTGTTTGATCTACGTCTTTCTTTTCTCTGCAGAAAATAAATGGGAAATACCACTGTGGATGGTACCCATCATCTTTGCTTATTTTCCTACTTCCTTCCCCTCCCTCTGAGTAATTATTGTATTGCCTTCCTAAGCTTATATTTTTTGAAACAGTCAGACCTAAACCAGCCCTAATTCACCACCAGCCCTATTGAAATGCTCACAGAATGCTTCAAATGCTGCTGTTTGAAGGCTCCTTCACGTGATCAGTCCCTAGAACATGTTTGCTTGTGTCCTGAGCTGGGATGCCCTGGGCCAGAGTGTGCTTGGAGATGGTCCCCCTGGATTGC